CCATCGGGGTCCAGGGTGACACTGGAGTGCGGTGGGGCAGCAGATCCCAAGGGCCAGAATGGAGTGGGTGAAGGACTCGAGGTCTGAGCACGAATGGCTGTTCCCAGATGCTGCAGGATGTCGGCCCTGGGAGTCTGGTGTGCAGCCTGGGGGCCATTAGTAGACTTTGGGGAAGTAAAGGCCTGAGTGTGCAGGGAAAAGTGAAGAAGAAAGACAGGCTGAAGAAAGGATTGGGGGGTTTGGAGGTCAGGCTTGAGCTGATTCAGGGGAGCCCCTGAGGCCGAGAGGGGGCAGGACATAGGGAGGAAGGCAGGGAAGACAGGGTACTGATGGCCACAGGAACCGTTTCCTGGGTGCTCTGCACAGGCCGGCCACTCTGCCAGCCACACACCATCTCAGTCAGCATCATTGTTAACATTTGCTGACAAATTCAGCGGCCTGATCAGTGGGGAGGGACATGGCCCAGCCGACCCCAGCCCGCCTTCCAATGTTCTCCCGTTGTCTCCAGAAAGGTGATCGAGCACTGCGGTAACTTTAAGGAGGAGAACATGGACACGTCCAGATAGAGGCCTTGTCCCATGGCCGCCACTGCTCTGGACACAGGCCGGCAGGCAGCACTCAGCAGCCCAGCTGGCAGACCCCACCGGGAGCCTCCCACTGGATGAAGGGACACGAGGACTTTTGCACAACTGACGCTTTTCCTTAACATTAGTGAGATATATATATTATATATATATATTATTTTTTTTTTGTTAGGAAGTGTGAAGTTTTGTGTATATGATTTCTGTACAAAAACAAAAGAAATACTCCCTGAGTCCTTGCAGCTTCCTTGGCCATTCTCAAGCCCTAACTCAGCCTTCATCGCTGCCACACTCCCCCTCCCCCCAACTAAATGCCTCTAACGTTGCGAGTGTCCAGTCCTTCCCCAGTAATCTCAGACCCTGGCCTGGCTTCCTCTTAGGAGAGGCAGCAGGCTTTTAACAGCCCACTCCAGCACTAGCCCACCCAGCAGAGCCTGAGAACCGCGCCTGGGTTCCTGAGGGCAGCTGATGGAGTTTAGGGATTAAAACCAGCCCCACTGAGTCTCCTGAATGCCTTGGTGCTCCCAGCTGTGGGCCATCTGGGGCAAAGAAGTGAGCTGTCTCTAGGCCTACGCCCAGGCAGCCCTGGCCCCAGAGGCCCCTCAGGAGCGGGGCTCCCAGTGGCCCTGCTGCTCTCTGGCCAGGCCTGCCTGAGGCCAAGCTGCTACGGAGGCTGCTTGTCTCCCACCAGGTCCCAGGCAGTTGAAGGCCCCAGTCCAGGGCTGGTCCACTGCCCACTCTGCCAAACATATCCAGAACCTGCCCCCCGGCCTGGGAGCCAGCACCTTCTGGGACCAGGGGCTCGTTACTCTCTGGCCCTTCATCTGCCCACAGCACCCAAGGTGCCCAGGCACCCCACCAGCAGAACTGAGCCTGCCTCATTCGCCCTGCCTGCCCACTGCGCACAGGACCCCACTCCTCTCAGGCAGGCGCTCCCCCTGCAGCAGCAGGCAGACGCCTCCGGACCAGCACGCGGCACAGCCCACGGTGGAGACCCTCCTGTGCTGCCCGGCGGCTTTACCTTGGAAAACTCTGGGCTGAGTTCCAGAGAAGTGTGAGCCCCAAATGTATCCGAATATCTTGTGCTCCCCCAACGTAACTCCGAACTGCTTCTCTCGTGGGGTGGGGTGAGGAGGCCCCTCCAGAACCAGGGGCCTGGAGCAGGGCTGACTGCAGGCAGTCCTGGGGTGTGGCTTTTCTTCCCTCCTCCTTGCCCGGGCCTGTTGCTGGATTCTCCTAGCACTTCTGCGAGGAGCAGCCCTGCGGAGAGGCACCTGGCCTTTTCCTCCTGGAGTCTTTCCCTCCCAGCCCTGGGGCGGGGCAGCTGCCCTGCATTCCCAGCTCGCCCTCCCTTCCATGCCCAGGTGGCCTGAGCCAGCCCCCTGGGCAGAGCTCACATTGCATTGCTTTACCACCTGGGTCCTGGGTAAATGTCTGTACTTTGGGGTGTCACAGAAATACATTTTTGTGAAAAGTGGAGAAGAGCAGAGTCTTTTTTTGTGTGGAAGGGGTGGGGTCAGGAGAGGGGCCGCGTTCTCTCTGCTCCCCTGTGCCCAGACTCAGGGTCCAGCTGGCAGCCAGCACCACGGCTCTGCCCAGGGTGGCTCGGTCTGACGGTAGAGACAAATGTTAGGTACGAAATTATGAGCCAGTGTGTGATGGGCAGAGAGAAGGGAGCCCGGAGGCACCTCCTGTGGCCTGGGGGGTGGGAGTGGGAGGGGTTGGGGAAGACCAGTTAGCTGGGCCACAGCGCTTCAGGACCGGGAAGAGCCCCTAGGGGGCCCGAGGCAGCATGGTGTTCCTCACGCAGTCAGGGAAGCTTCTCAGAGGAGAGGAAACTCGGGAAGGTGAATCCAGGGGAAAGACGAGGCAGCCAGGCCGGCTGTGCAGGGCCCGAGGAAAGAGCATCGAGACAGAGGGCCCGGCGCGGCCACGAGAGGGCCTTGCGGGGCGGACCACGAGCAGCCTGTGGGGCTGCAGCAGAGTGAGGGAACGAGGGGGCGAGCAGAAGTCACTGGGGCCAAATCACCAGGTGACCACACTCCGGCTTTGCCCAGGATGGTCCTGGTTCCACTTGTCCCAGTGTGACAATCACAGTGCCCTCGGTGCCCCTGGGGTACGCCTCAGGCTGCACCCAATGGGGGAGGGCCACTGCACAAAGAACAGATCCAGGGGAGCCATTCCCACGTGTGCCAGGTGGGTGTGTGCCCAGTGCCCGAGAAAAAGAGTCTCTCCTTGACCAAATCTTAGCCAGGCTCCTCTGCTCAACTAGGCCTCAACCTTGACCGACAAAAACCACTGCAGACGCTCAAGCGCGTGATTTCGTCCACCTCCCTCCTCCCACATTAAAAACGTTAAACAAACACTAAAATAGTTTCTAAGAACTCCAGGTTGCATTCCTAGGATGACCCTAGCCCACCTTCAAGCACCGGCCTGAGAGCTAAAGGCTGTTAAAAGAGCATCGACCCCACACACCAGGCTGTCTTAGAGTATTCACCAAAAAGGGCTTGTAACTGTGACCCCTTCCTCTGTCCCTCTGAAATGAATTTGTATCTTCTGCAACTCAGGGGTGTCTTTCTCAAGGACCTGAACGCCATTCTTTTGAAATGTAATCCTCAGGAAGGATGGGGCGGGCCTCTGTCTCCTCGTCTCTGGGAGGATAGAAGCCAAACTTCAGTAACTGCCAGCCAGCAGACACAGCGGGCATAATGAGCGTTTACTCACCAACCCTTCGTAATGTTTCACGCCCCTGAGTCTGCCCAAGCCCCCACCAGTTCCCTCTCTTTAAATGCCCAGTCACCAATCGCTTCTGGCCTTTTGGCTAAGATCAAATGTAGTGGTCGTGTCTGCCTGTTCTTTTTTTCAATTGTGTGTCCACCACCACAATCAAATCGTCTTCTGTCACCATAAATATGGCCCCCTTTTCCTTTACTACCGTACCCCCAGTGTCTGTTCTTGTCGGTTTAAAATGCCCGGTCACCTCTGTGCAAATTGAAGTGGCACTGAGTTCACGCTGGAACCTCTTCCCTACGACAAGAGGGTATTACCGATTAAAATCTGTCCTTACCACTTTAGTTTCCGACTTGATCTGTGACATCAGTATGTCACTGACTCATGGAAGGCTTCAGGGTTAAGTGGATAATGTGCTAGAATTCCTCACTCAGCTAAGTCATACCCCATTGCAGTTATCAAGACTAAGTTGCGAGAGAAACCAAGATGGCGGCATAGGTAAACACCAGAGTTTGCTGCCTCGCACGACAACTTCAAAAATACAACTAAGAGACAGAACAGACATCATCCAGAACCACAGGAAGGCTGGCTGAGTGGAAATTCTACAACTAGAAGGAAAGAGAAAAGCTTACTGAGACTCAGAGGAGGAGCGGTGCGGAAGTAAAATACCAAGGGCCAGAGGTGCATGCGGAACGGGCTGGCCACTGAGGGCGCGGTTGTCTTTTTCAATCGGGAGGGAGTCTCAGGCTCTGAGCTCCAGTTCCGGGCGAGTCTCTGGGGACCCAGACTCATACGGGAGAAGCGGGACTGTCTGGCATCGGTCGGAACTCGAGGCTTGCAGTGATTACCGGGACACTGAGAAGCAGAGCCTCTGAGGGCAAGACTGAGAGCAGCCATAACTGCTAGCCCCGCCCTGTTGATCCCGTGGG